TGGGAATCATATGCACCACAAGCAAGGGGTTATCGTTTCTTTCATTCTTAAGTACAAACAATTATTAGGAAGTTTTTAAATAATTTAATGCTATTACTATGATAGTAACTGCAGTAAATGCACAAAGATAATTTTAGGCTGATCATAATAATATATGAACATTTAGGATCTTAAATGGATCATAAAGGCATGGTCTTGATTAAAAATATCGTTTTAGATGGTCTTATCAGTACTGGTAATAGACTTGGTCGATAATTCTAAATTAATTAAAACAAAATAACTGATGGAGCAATAAATAATAAAGAAGGTATGTGAAATCCTTATCATATGGATGAATGATGAAACAAAATCTTTTTTTGATGAATTTCATTTGATGAAATATATTCTAGGAAACCTATCAAAAATAAGAGAGACTATATTGTTAGATGAACTATATTAAGGATCAATAAAAGCTTTTATGTTGCTTAATTTGTACTATAATGAAAAGCGAGCAAGAATTCTTTAAGAATTGACTTTATAAACAAAAAAAACAAGAAAGATAGAAAGTGAACTTAGTAAAAAAAACCACTAATCTATGCTAATGATAATGCTATTGTTATATTGATACAGGCATCAGGAATTTTTTTGGATTGCAAGATAAGTTGTAACAAAAAGAATAAATGGCTAAAAAGATTGATACCTATTTATTTTGGTTCTTGTATATAGACGAGAGGTTCAGTGATAAATACAACGAATACAAAGTGAAACTTTGATCATATTTGATCAAACCAACCACAGTTTGATTATGTCTCTCAAGTCTATTTTATCTAAAATTCAATAATATCTATTGTTTATTTATCTCAATTATTGTATTAATTAAATAATTTTAATTGTAATTTTCTCTATAATAGATGAAATTATTTTCCAATTATTGAATCCAGAATAACTTCTTAAATATTTACTATAATTTTCAATTTTATTTTCAAATTCATTCATTTTAGTCTATATATTTGAATATTAAGACTGATTTTTCTGTTTAATTTAAAGTTTTTGATTTAATGTTCTATTAAACTTAAATTATAATTTAAGCTTATTTCTCGCGATCTATTTATTATAATTTTTATACATAACAATTCAGCTACGGCATAAATGAGATCTACATGCAGTTTAATTTAAGCAATAGCTTAGTATGTTTGTCTCAAAATAAACTCAGCCACCTTTAAAGTTCATCCAACAATAATCAGATACTCTGCTGCATTAACCTTCAACATATTAAACTTATTATTTTTATTTAAAGACATATTATTTAAAAAAATATCAAAATTTAATATAATAAATAATAAATCAATATTCATCATTTAATATTATTTATCTTAAAAAATTAAAAATATAATCAAACCAGTAAATTGATACAATAATTTTCGGTTGCTTCTTTATTCAATAATTTAAACATTATATAATATAAAAACTAAAAATTTTAGGCAATAAATCCAATTTAAATTGAGTATGATAAATCTAATCAAATTAAAATAATAACCTTTATTGAACTAATAATTTGAGATTTCTATAAATTCTCAAACTATTTGATTAAAGTTTTTAAATTTATTAGCCATTATCAGACACAACAGCCTAAGAAGATTTAAAATTTTATGACATTTTTTCTATTCATTCCTCTTCAAAATTTTTCTAATTAAGTATGTTATTATTAAATAAATAAATGAAATTAAAGTAATTAAATAGAATTCATAAAATTATTCTAACATAAATCTATTTAAAAAAATATAAAGATAAGAATTATCAACATTTTATTGTAGGTTAAGAAATGAAAATTCGCTGTAAAATAAATATAATTCCCTTTTAAAAAAAGAAAAATTAAGTATGAATTTAAACTATTTACCCATTATTATTTAATAAAGTTTATATTTATAACTATACTTATAATCTTACAATCTTTGATA